GTGCAGTTCGATATTGGTCCCGGAAGCTCGGCAAACATTTCCTTTAAATAGTCTGGAGAGACAAAACACTTTTTTGAGTCTGAGATATACCTACGTCAGCGTGATTAGCAGTACTCGTCTAGAAATGCTTCTGTACGCGATCCCAGCTGAAGGAGCTGCTAAGAAACTGACAAATCTTCGACTTTATACTTCCTAATGAGAAGGCGTAATACATAAAGATGTATTTAAAATGAACGATTTGATTCATACCATATCGCTGAACGAGCTTTTTCAATTGTTTTGTTAAAAATTACAGTGTAACAGGTGACTATTCTAGTATAAGGAAATCTAGTTGTAGTTAACAGGCGTATAAACGTGATAGTTGATGAAATATTTTTCCCAAGAATCACTTTATTTAAAATCTGGAATTCGAATTTCAACCTACTTCTAACAGACTCCTAGCTGAAATAACTTTATGACACACTACCTCCCTGCCCCTGGATTGCAAAAACACCCTATAGTTATTGTGAACATGCGATGTGTGTGTGTTGAATTTTAATAGGAAGAAAATCAGTCGTACATGAAATGAGTTGTATTTTGAAGTTCTGTGGCAAAAATAAAGCAATAAATCAAATACAAGGAAAAGCTAAATAAATAATAAAGTAAACACATTAAGCACTAATGTCTTTTGGAGGTCTTGGGGAGTACCCAACGAGGGAGGAGTGGGACGCCGGTAGCCGAGGACTCTCCGAAGTGAGCGGGCAGGTCTGGTACACGGACGGCTCGGTCACCGAAGAGGGCTCAGGTGCTGGGGTCTCTGGACCTAGAACTAGGCTATCTCTGCCTCTCGGTGAGTACACCACCATTTTCCAGGCGGAAATCTTTGCGATTCTGGCTTGTGTATCTCACATTCTGGAGGAGGGTGGGCCTAGGAGAAGAATAACAATCTTATCCGACAGCCAGGCTGCAATGAAAGCACTAAGTGCATGTAAGATTACTTCGAGTCTTGTATTGCAATGCAGGGAGGCTCTGGATTGCCTCGCAGCGAGGCATCCGGTATCGTTAATATGGGTACCGGGGCACGCTGGGATAAGGGGCAATGAGACGGCGGACACTCTGGCGAAAACAGGATCAGCCAGCAAGCTCGTTGGTCCTGAGCCAGCTCTAGGAGTAACCGCGCATAAAGCTAGGAGGAAAATGGAGACGTGGGTTGCAAGACAACACTCTCAGAAATGGAGAAGTATCTCTAGACATCTCCGCCAGGCACGAGAGCTCATTGAAGGGCCCAGTGCTAAGGATGGACGCTTCTGCCTATCTCTGGGTAGAGCCAACCTAAGGTTGCTGGTGGGACTGTTGTCTGGCCATAACACGTTAAGGCGGCACCTGCACGTGATGGGGGTGGCTGAGGATCCCTTGTGCGAACGCTGCGGAGTAGAGGAAGAGACCTCGGCGCACGTTTTGTGTCGCTGTGAAGCTCTGAGCTACTATAGGCAGACTATACTGGGGTCCATTACTTTGGACCCTCAGGACGTAAAGGAGCTTGGACTCAAGGCGATTCACAACTTCGCTAAAAGGGCGAGGCTTGTGATTTAAGTATTGTAGAGGTGCATAAGGGCCCGCATAAGCGGCCTATGCACTGGCTCCTTATGGTGGCCGGGATGCCTCTAAAATTCAAGATTCATTCATTCCCATTCAATGTCTTTTGGGGGGGTTCATGCAAATAAACAGAAAGGGCTACATACTAACTTTGCAGAAAAACTTTCTCAATTTTCTTGTAGATAAACAAAAATCAAAACGAGGCATATTCTAAACGTGACAGTACCAATACCACCTACTTGTTGGAGTTTGTAAAACTAACTTAACCTAGTGATATTTATTTTTGACGTCTACCACGGGCCGTGTAGGGAATTTTGTGTTACACCGCTTATCTGGCACCTCTTTATTGAGTCCTAGGATTTTACACAAAGAAAACTTGGATACTCGCATTATTTAGGTGAGTTTATCGTTTACGATGAAAACTCTAATATAACTTTTTCGGAAACTGAATGTAGTCTGTTGGATAAGTAATTTTCTAGTAATGAGTACATTTTTCCCCGAAAGCCAACTCTGTCCAATGTGTCTAAAAATAATTGATGGTTTACTGTATTACCACAATATTATGTGATTTTACGCGATTGGTGTTGTAAAAGCAAAAAAAAACATGGTATACGAGGGTCACGCTATATATTTTGAGATACACGAAAACTAAACACTATTTTTCGAAAACTAGTTTATTTATGCTTAAAGTATCAATGCACTTCTGTAACCTGCCCTTCAACAAATGAAATGCTTCTAACCAGTCAGCTTTTGGAATGCCTTCAACAAACTGATTAATTGCGTGATCGATTTCTTCTTCGGACGAAAATTTTCGACCACGCAAATTCTTGAAGAGCAAGAATCTTCTAGCATTTTGATCTTTCGCTGGCGTAAAAAGTCTACAGTTAGTTGGGCAGTGCGGCTAGAAGCATTGTCCTGATGCAGGATTGTACCACTGCAACAACTTTTTTTGAATGAAGATGATCATGCAAAATGGTATGCACTGTTGCGGATCCTACCACAAGAGTTGCCTCTATATTCGCATATGTGCAGCGAGAATCTTCTTCAATTAGCCGCTGAACTTTAGCAATGTTTTCAGGGGTCACACTAGAATATGGCCTACCACTACGTTTTTCATCAGCCAATGAAATACGCCTTGTTTTAAATTCAGCATCCCATCGAAACACACTTGCCCGGGGCGGAGCTTCATTTCCAAATGTCTGTTGTAACCGTTCGATTCATTGATGTTCACTTAAATCGACTTCAAGGACATGGTAAATCATAGCGCGATAAGCCTCTCGAGACTCCATGTTTCGTCTTAAATTTGTTCACACCACGTACACTGAAAGACGCTTGCAAGTGAACTGAATGCGGCGACTTACTAATAAAGGACTGCCCTTTCTAATAGTGCAGTCTTGCCGGTTGTAACTAGTATAGTTAATGCGCATCTCAAAATATACAGCGTACCCCTCGTATTAGGGAAATATTTACCTGGCATACAATGTAATTCTACATGAACTTTTTGCAACGCAGCGCAGGTATTTTAATACGAGTATATCTACAGACTTATTGAAATCGATTTGCAACAGTTTTTCTCGCAACATACTTACCTTTTGGTGAAGTCTAGTGAAGTTTCCTTCAACTACCCCTTTCCGCACCGGTTGGTATTCAGCAATCCAGCAATGGCGTCGTCGCCGTACTGCAAACTGAGAATAAATAACATGGTGCAAGCTGGAAAGTAAGATTTATGGCCAGATCTGGCTAGCTTTATTACGTACCTCGTAAATAAGTCGGCAGCGAACAGAGGCGATTCCAGACTCTGAACTGGAGGCCGAGTCGCACGTCGCGAAAATTGCATTTGATGAAGGAATTCAGCTACGAATCTACGGTTTCGTACGACTGCACATGTTGCTAGTCATACAGTCTTTAATGGCCATTAATCGTTTAGATGTGGTATTAGACGGAGTGTTGGATTTTTTTGGATTCAGTCAAGGATATACAGGGTAGTAATACAGCTTTCGTTTAGGCCATTGATTCCCAAAGTAGTCTATCTCGACCCCTAGGGGTCTATGACAACCTGCAAGGGGTCTACGTCAGCGAAAAAAATTTGGGGGTCCATGAAATGAATATGGAGGTCCACGATGGTGGATCTCAACACATGCACTGATAGTACCTATTTACTTACATCATACTATCTTATAATATCAAAACATATACATTATTTATAAAAGTACCTATGAAGTAAAAAATTTATTATATATGTTTATGAAATTGTGTAAGTTGTAGGATGTTGGTATTCGCTTTGTGGTCGCAATACATTTTGAACTTGTAAAAACCTGAGAGTCGCAGTCTCAGAGCTTCGCTACCTTGCACTGACTTGTTCAATTCGTCACTCTATAAATACGAATGTGGGACAAATACGTTTATTCGTTTCCCGAATCTTGAAAAGGAAAGTGCTAAGAAAATATTTAAAAAAATATAAACAGATAGTATAACACACAAATTATAGTGAGTCAGTGTTATTTTGTTTGAGAGTGCTGGAGAAACGTAAGTACATTATTTTTTATTAAATTTTAGTTTTGTACTCGTAGTTAGCAAATATAGGTAAATTACGCCAATCATGACTTTAGTTATTAGTAGTTAAATATTCAATCATGCATAATTACATGAGTACTCCTCAATAGTTTCTTTTTGAAAGTTTTAGCAATCGGTAATATAATTACAATGCAATCTCCGTAATTCGAGCTAATTGATGCAAGAAGATGTTCGAATTATGGAATGTTTTCGGAAAAATCAAAAAATATTTTTAATATACATCTGCTAGATTTTCTGTCTTATTTAAATAATTTAATTTTGCCCACAGATGACTGATGCCATGTCCGAATCTAAAAAGAAATGTAGACAGTACAGTGTTGATTATTTGAAATTTGGCTTCATTCCATCATTGCCGGACAAACAATCGCCTATGTGCCTTTTATGCAACAAAGTTTTGGGCAATGACGCTATGAAACCATCTAAACTGCAAGATCATCTGAGAAGATGCCACCCTTATAAAACAGAGAAAGATTTGAAATACTTTCAAACACTCAAAGATAAATTTCAGAAGAGACCTACACTGGACAGAATGTTCGCTTCGACGTCACAAAGAAATGATGATGGTTTGCGGGCGTCTTACAATATCTCGTTACTTATAGCAAAATCCGGAAAACCGCATTGTATCGGCCGTTGAAGAGGTTTTAAAAACTGTTTTACACAAACCTGCATCTGATATCATTAAAAGAATTTCCTTAAGCAACAATACTGTTGAAAGACGTATTGATGAAATAAGTTCTGATATTGAAAACTTCTTATATAATTATTTGCAAACGACCCATTTCTCTATACAACTGGACGAGTCAACTTTACCTGATAATGCAGCATTATTATTGGCATATGTTCGTTTTATTATGAATCATGAAATCTACGAAGAACTGCTCTTCGCAAGAACTTTGATAACCGACACTAAAGGTGAATCAATATTTCATGTTTTGAAGGATTACTTCATTGAAAAAGCAATTCCTTTCTCAAATATAATATCAGTAGCTACAGATGGAGCACCTGCCATGGTTGGACATTATCGTGGATTTATAAGCTATTTAAAACAAAATGGGTCAGGGGTGTTAGCAATACATTGCGTCATCCATCGACAACATTTAGTTGCTAAAAATTTGAGTGTTAGATTGCATGAATCACTTCATTTAGTCATTGATACAGTAAACCGAATCCGAAGCAACGCGTTGAATACGCGGTTATTTGCGCAGTTGTGTGAAGAAAATGACGAACACTTTCATCAATTACTCCTTCACATTGAAGTACGCTGGCTGTCGAAAGGCTTATGTTTGACAAGATTTTTTGCACTTTTTGATACTATTTTAGAATTTCTGGATACTAAAGATAATATTTTAAAAGAAAATTTAATCAAGAGAAAAACAGACATCGCCTATTTAACAGATTTGTTTGCAAAATTTAATATGGTTAATTTGCAATTACAAGGCGACAGTTTAAATTTGATTAAAACAAAGTCCATCTTATCAGCGTTTCTTGCCAGAGTTAAACTAATGAAGCAAAATATTGGACGGGGCGAATTTTCTCAGTTCCCCAATTTGTCACAGACAAGCTGCGACGTTTCAACTTACGTTCAACATTTAAATGCCCTCTATTCAGATTTTGAATCTAGGTTTGAGGATATTTTGACTATGGTAATACCACCGTGGATAATTAATCCATATGGTGACATAGAAGAAACTAATGTCATAATACAAGAGGAACTGACTGAACTAAGTGCAAATGAAGAACTTAAGGTTCAGTTTAAAAACGGATATCAGCAATTCTGGCTGCAAAACAACATACCCGTTACTTATCCCGTATTATGGAATATAGCTAGGAAATTTTTAATTTCCTTTCCATCGTCATACCTGGTGTAAAGGGGGTTCAGCGCTGTTACCAATCTCCTAACGAAAAAAAGAAACAGACTGGACATCATTAGCCGAGGAGATTTAAGATTAACCCTTACAAAATTGACGCCAAATGTTGATAATTTATTATTAAAGCATCAGGTTCATCCTTCTCACTAAAAATATTGACTTATTGCTTATGCTATTGTATTTATAGTTTATTTTATGTTTATTGGTGTCTAACCAATAAATGCCTGAATAAGTGCCCGCATTGATTTTTTTTAAAGAACCCCTTTATAGAAAATATTTTTTTTTTAAAATTATTCTGAAAATTCAAGGATAGGTACACACTAAAATTTTTAGATAACTTAAACATATAAGAAGCGGAATTTAATCAAACTAACAGTGAAATTATTGTAGAACATACGTTTATGTTATAATTAATAAACGAACTCGCTTATTGTACTATTTTAAGTAAAACACTTTTTTTTTATTATTTTCACTTTTTTTTTATTTTATCCCTCTTATTTTTTTTTTCAATGCGGGCACTTATTCCCAATGCGGGCACTTATTGGTCAGACACCTGCTTATTTAATGTTACGTATATTTTACATAACAGATACAAAATTTTATTTTGAGTAGTTTTAATTTGAATTCGATTAATAAATGTATAAATTAACATGTGTTTTTACTTCACTACAGTTAGAAATTTATAGGAAATCAATATCAGGTAAGTAGGGCGTCTACCCAACACGGAAAAACATGGCAAGGGGTCTACGACACAAAAAAGTTTGGGGAACTCTGGTTTAGGCCAACCATGGATAACTGTTTCGAGCTATTTGGCAACTTTTCAGCAAAGCTGAGCAACTCTACTCTATTCATATTATAAGGAAATCAGACAGCACAAACTGCCATCTAATACCAGAATCGACAACTGCGAAAGTCAAAACAGCAAGCTGGCCGATTCTGGCAAATGATGTTACTTTGTGCTGCCCTATTTCGAGAGACCTGAAACTCTGAATAGAATTGCTCAGCTGACGTTCATTGTCCGCCGAGATCAAGCGTGCATCATGCTGAAGAGTTGTCAAATAGCACGAAACTAGTTTGTTTAATGGCGAGTGGACCATATATACTATAGCGCCAGAATCGGTGGCATCTAGCGGCCTCAAGCTAAAATCCAGTATTTTTCCCGTGTATAATACACAATTTTTTTCTGTGACGGGAAAAACGACGATTTAATATTGAAAAATTATATTATTACAATATTTAAGTCGGAAAATTGTCGATGTAAAATTTGAATTTTGAGATTAGTAGGCTATGTTGTACTTGTAGCGACAATTAGACCTGCGTTGCTGAGGAAACTTTTAAAGTAATCAAATAGCTGTAAATTTAATTTTGTGATTTGATTTAAAAATTGTGAACTTAGTAGTTGTTTAGAAGTTATTTTGAATACTATGAAGTAAAAAAGTAGCCAAAGTAGCGTTACAAAAATAATTGCCAGCTAAATCGTTTTTTTCTCTGGGAAAAAAAGTAATCTCATAAAAAGTGACATGTTGTTACCTGTCAACAGAGATAAAATGTCAAACTTTTTTCCCGTCTCAGAAAAAAATAACTTTTATGACATTTTCTATGGCAGAGTACAAAATACATTTTTTTTAATGTTCTATATATCTTTCTTTCATAACTTGTAGCTGACAATGTTTTATCAAATATTATGAAAATGGTCAAAGCGACGGTGAATTATATGGTCATTTGTCACAATGTTGAAATACCACACTTTGGAATAGGCACTAAAAAGCAAGAGATCTGTAGTACAGGAACGTATTTACTAAACTTTTTGTACGATTAAAGTATTTACATCCCGCTAGTACGCTGCAAATAAAATGTTTCGGAACGATAATTCGGCGCGAAAAGCTCTTCACGCCCTTTGTATATTGTCATGCAAATACTTGTAGAAGCTGTGGAATACCTTTGTAGAACCCCCGTCGGGATAAAAATCGGCTTCTCACAGAGAATCCTAAATAAGGCCTACTTATTAGTTTACCGAGGTCTTTTGAAGATGAAGCCGAGGGATTTTTCTTTTGTCTCATCCGCATTTGGTTCACGCGGGAACGTAGAAAATTGTACGGTTGGCGACAAATTGCACGAAAATTTATTACCCTGTTTTTGCGCATTTGATATTCATTCGACAATTTGCTTTTCCTGCTATTGCGCGTACTTTGAAATATAGCCTTGTAATAAAGGTCACAACCCAAATATGTTAGGATTTATCATCAATTTAACATTTTTATTATATCAATAAGTATCTACACTACTATTTTAAAAGCAAAAATTTAGGTAATATAGTGACACAAATAAATACGATTAATTTATTAGTAAGTCATTCCCTCATCTCGTCCCTGGGTCTGAAATTACTAATAAAAAAATATATACAATCAAATCTGTTCATATTCTTATAAACTGAATATTACTAAAATATTTGGCAATAAGTATGGATTGTACCAAACTTGGCAATGCTGCTAATAATGTCAACATGGCGGAATTTCTTAACAGTGAAAAGAGTTGCTGCAAAAAAGTATTGGATCTCAATAATTAGAACATTACATTTCTCTGTGTCATTACCTCACTGTTTATATTAAAAGGTAAGTCATTATACTGTTCGAATGTTTTAATGATCTTTTTCTTGCTTTGGGGAGTAAAATGCATTCACAAAATGCTAAATCAATTTGAGGTGATGTACTGTTGGTTATGCAAATCCGTCATTCCCTTACCGTCATTCCCTTACCGTCATTCCCTCACTATATTATAAAGTGAGGCAATATAAAATTGCAAATTGCGTATATAAAATTGTGGTTTGGGTGTTATTGTTTAACTCTAGGTTTTAACAGATATCCGTATATCATGAATGGGAAAAATGAAGAAGTTAAGTGAAGAAGAAAAGAAATTAAAAAGGGAGTACGACAGAAAGAGGCGAGAACAAATGAAAATTAATGCTGAGCATAGAGAAGCTTTGCGTGAAAAAGAAAGATTAAAGTATTTATTTAAAGAAGAAGTTAAGTCAACAAGTCCTATGAGTGCAAGAAACAGTAGCCAAAAACGAAAACAATGGAAGAAGAATAGTAAAGTTTATAGGGAAAAGCGAGTTACATTACAAACAAATTTACAGAGAATGAAAAAAGTCCTGCATCATCTTTACAGCACAGAGCAGAGAATTTGTCTGCTCTCAATAGACGTAGAATGCGCAAGCGGCGAACTATTCTGTACGCGAAGATTAAAAGTTTGGAAAATGAAGATAAGGAACGCAGTCAAGCTTAGCGAAAAATATAAGAAGGGGTGTTTGAGATTGAAAACTAAAAATACTGACCCAAACTCTCCAGTAACTAAAGTGTCTACGCTTTTAAAGAATATACAAGTTCCTGACGTTGTAAGAAAAATACTCATTTTCGGAGAAGCACTGCCAACGGACTCAAGTATATCTATGAAGATCTTGGAAGTAAACATGGAGAAAAGAAAAAATATTACATGTTGAAACTGCAATAAGTACAAAACATACAAATTGCTATATAGATCGAAACATTGTTTCAAAAACGATACGTACAAAAAGAACTGTACTCGTAAAGTTAGCTCCATAATGCTGAAAGTTAGGGGTGATGTTGTTCATTTTTTAGAGAATGATGAAAATACGAGGATGTGCCCTTTAAAGTATAAAACTAATCTCAATACATCTATCAAAAGAAAAAATATTACATGTTGAAACTGCAATAAGTACAAAACATACAAATTGCTATATAGATCGAAACATTGTTTCAAAAACGATACGTACAAAAAGAACTGTACTCGTAAAGTTAGCTCCATAATGCTGAAAGTTAGGGGTGATGTTGTTCATTTCTTAGAGAATGATGAAAATACGAGGATGTGCCCTTTAAAGTATAAAACCAATCTCAATACATCTATTAATAAATTAACTTATGCTTTTTATTGCAATTCAGCGTCAAATTGTTGTAAAAATCATTCCCTCATCCTATCAGTCATTCCCTCATTTCATAGTATTTAAAAGTCATTTTTCTACATGTTATATACAAAAATATGGACGACCTTCATTTTCAATGAACCTCACTAAAATAAAACTTCATATTTCTGCAAAAAAGGATATATTTTAATTACTTTTTTTTTAGATATGAAATTTTTAATTTTGTTGAGAAATACCCTTATACTTCCCACGACAACAGGCGGGACAGTATTGTAATCATGAAAAATTTCGAAAATGAACAAGTTTCTTATGTACATGACAGACATGCCTGTCATTAATTTTCATCGGTTTGTCTGTCTCTTTGTTGTTATGCCTGCTTGCTAACCTTTGACCTCCGTATTGCTCAGATTTTGGTGGGCTTTTGATACAACGTTACTAGTACGACAAGATTGAAACATCTTTGTAGTTTTGAAAATTGATTTGAACATTCATTTTATAGCGTTGAAGCTACGGGCAAGAAAACTAAAAAAAAAATCGCTCAAACTTCGTTGTTTGCTATGTTTCAGAGACTTCTAATCAAACTCGCGATAATATTCGAACTTCGGTTCACAAATGTTCTGTCGCCGTGTTTCTCATTTATGTTCCTTGGTCAATCAGTGCCTGTTGTGTATTAATGCGTCATAAGTACTGAGTCAATCTACTTGACGAACTATCCAGATAACCATCACAGACGAAGTAACACAAATCAAGATCGGAAGCTTCTTAATGATAGGTCTTTGACTAATACTAAAGACGTTACATTTGCAACCCTCCACCCCTTAAGTTTCAACCCTTACAAACAAGAAAATAATCAGAAGCCCCTATCTCCGCCAACGCTACATCGATTTTCAAAAATTACAAAGCTTTTGCGAACTTGGCATGGGAGTCACAATGTTTTAAATTTTCATCAAAATCCGAGCGAAACTTTTCAAACAATAGGCGGTTATAAAATTAGCGGACAGACCGACGGACATAAGTCATATACATGTCATATAACATCCAAAAAATATAATATCTTAATTTTCAACTGCTTCGCGATTACAGTACTTACTCGCCAGTTCTGGCTTAGAAGGTAAAATCCATTCTTTTTAATTATTACAGTCGGGCTATTTCTATTCTTTTAAAACGTACTTGTTTCAAAATTGCTTTGGAGACGTTGTCATCGTTATCGCAAAAACCCATCAAAATTCGTTGGTACATATAGCTGTGGAAAGTGCTGCAATTTATAAACTTCACGGTCGAACATCAAGATCCCATTTATTTTATGAAGAATTCTTACCGGAAATTCATTTATCCCTCAAGAGATGCAAACATTAATTAGTCTAATCTCGTCCATGGGAACGATGACGTACGCATTTTTTAGGGTTACAAATCGTCGGCAACGAATGCTCGCGCAGCCCAAATGAATGTGCCCAAGTCACGCGATCATTTTCATAACTGGGTATAAAGACATTTATAGTAGTCATCAACTGGCGATCTTGCGTTTTGTAGAAATGCTTTCAGATGGTACAGGAATTAAGAAAATGCAGTTGTATCTTAAATAGCTTGAAAGCTTTTGGATGAATAATTACCGTTAGTCAATTAAGATCGTGGTTAAAATGTTACAAAATTCAATACTGAGCCATCAAGAGCGTATTCGAGACAGGAGAGGAGATCTTTAGCGCATATATTTCTGTATTCCTACAATTTTTGCGAGAGTATTTGGTATTGGTGCGTTTGATCAAAAATCGCGAAAACAATCGATCCTATGTACAGAAGAAATAGGAACCATTTTGTAGGGAATCAAATTCTTTATCATCTTGCTTCAATAAAAAGGTGTATAGTCAACGGATTATGGGAAGTTAAAATGTAAAGATGCATGTAATGATTTTCAGCTTATAATGTGTAAACTAAGAATGTTAAGAGCATAAAACACTTTGTAGAGAAAAAAACTGCTACAATAAATTTTTTTCCGACACCTTGATGGTCCTTGCAGAATAAGAAGGGAAAGTAAAAATATCGTATCATCGCGTGCGCTACGTACGTTGTCCACGTTTTCCGCATGCACTATTTCAAGATGACGGTCTATTGGCAATTTTATCACTTCATAATTTTAGTAAATGCTGTAGCGATTTCAATTCTATTTTCTTTAAAATCATTGCAACGGTTGCTAACATCTTTTGTTGCGAATCACTCATAACTACGAAATGTTTGAATTTGTTTAGAAGAAAAAACGTAACCCAATAACATTTATCTTCCGGAATGGTTTGCGATTCATATCGGCAAGGTAAACTAGTGTATCTTGCTATAAAATACCCTTTGAACTAAGCCTGAATATTGCTCAATAAACTAGTAGTGATAGCCGGAAAACCGGTGTTTTGGAATAAACAATTATAACTTCTCAAAAACTGCTTGACCAATATACTCCAATTTTGTTGTCGTTATCCTACTACCTGCAGTTTGCCTCGGTTTTGGGCCATAACTTTTCTGCTGTTGGTTGGATCTTTTGACCTGTGGTCTCATTTGGTAGGTCTCATAAATGCCTAAAAATCTTATATAAGAGTTTTTGCGTTCCTTCCAACACTTCCGATGGAATCCCAACAAACGCATTATCTCATTCTTTGTTGTCCAATAAGAAGTTTTCCCACAAAAATTGGTGTACCCATTTTATGCGTCCATAATACCCCTTTGAACAACTTGCGCCAAAAAAAACAGACTTTACAATTATCTCGCAAACCAGCGGTATTTTCGTCTAATATGATTAGACTATAAATGAATAAAGAAGCAAGCCGCAAAGTAAAGTGTGATTAGAATGACTTTATTTAGTACAAAATAGTTATTTACCTAAGCCGTCAAGGGCGAAAAATATACTTTTCGCAAGTGGTAGTGTAAGATTTTTTCTAACAGCGCAGCGCAAGACAACAATAAACCCAGAATTTTAAATGCGGACTATATTTTATTAGAAATTCAATAATTGCAACATCAAAGGTATTGCGTGCGGAAAAGTGTGACTTTCTGCAGGCAGATGCGTGTTGAAAGGATTGTAATTGATAAACAAATTCTCAACTAAATTCAGTAACGAATTTTTTCACGAAATTTCGTACCAAATTATGAACAAAATTTTGTACCATGACAGACGGCCTTTATACTAAAAGACCTATCAAGGTGTCGAAAAAACGTCTAACGTTTTTGAAGAAAATTATATTCTCTACGCCCTAGGATGTTAGTTTAGCCATTATATGCGAAAATGTTGCATGCACCTTTACGCTTTGCCTTAAATTTGTCGTAACCTGTATGGCAAATGAGAAGGAATTTAATTTCATACAAAATTGTTTTTATTACTTTTCTACATAGGACTGATGGTTTCCGAGATTTTCGGTCAAATGCTTTTATCAAAATGGCTGCAAATGCTCCAGCGCTGTTAAGACGAACATTTTAACTGAGCATTAGGAAGCAAAATTACCTATTTTCTGGTTTATTGCAAACTCTGCGAATCCCTTATTCTGCCAAAATTATCGTACGGTGACTCTGTTTATGGACCTGCTCTCTTACAACGTGATGCCGAGCGGATTCAGATGATACAAAACTCATGCATCAGATTTTCTTATGGAATCCGTAAATTTGATCACATTAGTAGCGCTTTTGACCAACCGGGATGGTTTAAGATGAACAAATTGAGGAAACTGCATTGCCTATCTCTGGTACATAAGGCCCCTCTCCTTAAAGCGCCCTATTATCTTTATTCAAAGTTAAACCTCATCTGCCAGTACGATCAAAGATCCTCTAGGAATAAAAGCATCTTACTTATCCCGCGGCATTCGACAACATTGTTCACACGTAGTTTCTCGTACTGGGCACCCAAACTATACAAGGTTTGTTCGGAAAGTAATAGGACTGAGTCGATTTAAAAAATTTATTGAGCCAATCGTTACAATTCTTTAAAAACTTTCAAAATAGGCGTCACGGAAGGCATTCTCCGCGGTGCATGCTGCTTGGATCCCCTCTGTCGTCTCAAAATGCTTGCCTTTGATCGGCCTTTTAAGGCGAGGAAACAAAAAAAGTCCGGGGGGCCACATCTGGGCTGTAGGGCGGCTGTGGAAGCGTTGGGATGTCGGCCTTGGTCAGGTAGCTGTTCACAAGAAAGGCGGTGTGAGCCGGGGCGTTGTCGTGGTGCAACTTCCAATCGGCTGCGATGGCTTGTCGTCTCCTGAGCACTTCCACGTAAAACTTGACGTTGACGGTTTGTCCAGGAGGAACAAATTCATGGTGGACGATGCCTTTGATGTCAAAAAAGACAATGAGCATCGTTTTCACGTTGGATTTGCTC